AGTTACTGACACCATCCCCTCAGGATCCATATTAATTACTGACACCATCCCCTCAGGATCCATATTAATTACAGACAGAATCCCCTCAGGATCCATATTAGTTACTGACACCATCCCCTCAGGATCCATATTAATTACTGACAGAATCCCCTCAGGATCCATATTAATTACTGACACCATCCCTCAGGATCCATATTAATTACTGACAGAATCCCCTCAGGATCCATATTAATTACTGACAGAATCCCCTCAGGATCCATATTAATTACTGACACCATCCCTCAGGATCCATATTAATTACTGACACCATCCCCTCAGGATCCATATTAATTACTGACACCATCCCTCAGGATCCATATTAATTACTGACACCATCCCTCAGGATCCATATTAATTACTGACACCATCCCCTCAGGATCCATATTAATTACTGACACCATCCCCTCAGGATCCATATTAATTACTGACACCATCCCCTCAGGATCCATATTAATTACTGACACCATCCCTCAGGATCCATATTAATTACTGACACCATCCCCTCAGGATCCATATTAATTACTGACACCATCCCTCAGGATCCATATTAATTACTGACACCATCCCCTCAGGATCCATATTAATTACTGACACCATCCCCTCAGGATCCATATTAATTACGGACACCATCCCTCAGGATCCATATTAATTACGGACACCATCCCCTCAGGATCCATATTAATTACTGACACCATCCCTCAGGATCCATATTAATTACTGACACCATCCCTCAGGATCCATATTAATTACTGACACCATCCCCTCAGGATCCATATTAATTACTGACACAATCCCCTCAGGATCCATATTAATTACTGACACCATCCCTCAGGATCCATATTAATTACTGACACCATCCCCTCAGGATCCATATTAATTACTGACACCATCCCCTCAGGATCCATATTAATTACTGACACCATCCCCTCAGGATCCATATTAATTACTGACAGAATCCCCTCAGGATCCATATTAATTACTGACACCATCCCTCAGGATCCATATTAATTACTGACATCCCTCAGGATCCATATTAATTACTGACAGAATCCCTCAGGATCCATATTAATTACTGACACCATCCCTCTGGATCCATATTAATTACTGACACCATCCCCTCAGGATCCATATTAATTACTGACAGAATCCCCTCAGGATCCATATTAATTACTGACACCATCCCTCAGGATCCATATTAATTACTGACAGAATCCCCTCAGGATCCATATTAATTACTGACAGAATCCCCTCAGGATCCATATTAATTACTGACAGAATCCCCTCAGGATCCATATTAATTACTGACACCATCCCTCAGGAGCCATATTAATTACTGACATCCCTCAGGATCCATATTAATTACTGACACCATCCCTCAGGATCCATATTAATTACTGACAGAATCCCCTCAGGATCCAAATTAATTACTGACAGAATCCCCTCAGGATCCATATTAATTACTGACAGAATCCCTTTAGGATCCATATTAATTACTGACACCATCCCTCAGGATCCATATTAATTACTGACAGAATCCCCTTAGGATCCATATTAATTACTGACACCATCCCTCAGGATCCATATTAATTACTGACACCATCCCTCAGGATCCATATTAATTTCTGACACCATCCCTCAGGATCCATATTAATTACTGACACCATCCCTCAGGATCCATATTAATTACTGACACCATCCCCTCAGGATCCATATTAATTACTGACACCATCCCCTCAGGATCCATATTAATTACTGACACCATCCCCTCAGGATCCATATTAATTACTGACACCATCCCCTCAGGATCCATATTAATTACTGACACCATCCCTCAGGATCCATATTAATTACTGACACCATCCCCTCAGGATCCATATTAATTACTGACACCATCCCCTCAGGATCCATATTAAGTTACTGACACCATCCCCTCCATATTAATTACTGACACCATCCCTCAGGATCCATATTAATTACTGACACCATCCCCTCAGGATCCATATTAATTACTGACACCATCCCCTCAGGATCCATATTAATTACTGACAGAATCCCCTCAGGATCCATATTAATTACTGACAGAATCCCCTCAGGATCCATATTAATTACTGACAGAATCCCCTCAGGATCCATATTAATTACTGACAGAATCCCCTCAGGATCCATATTAATGACACCATCCCTCAGGATCCAAATTAATTACTGACAGAATCCCCTCAGGATCCATATTAATTAGACACCATCCCCTCAGGATCCAAATTAATTACTGACAGAATCCCCTTAGGATCCATATTAATTACTGACACCATCCCTCAGGATCCATATTAATTACTGACAGAATCCCCTTAGGATCCATATTAATTACTGACACCATCCCCTCAGGATCCATATTAATTACTGACACCATCCCCTCAGGATCCATATTAATTACTGACACCATCCCTCAGGATCCATATTAATTACTGACACCATCCCCTCAGGATCCATATTAATTACTGACAGAATCCCTCAGGATCCATATTAATTACTGACACCATCCCTCAGGATCCATATTAATTACTGACACCATCCCCTCAGGATCCATATTAATTACTGACAGAATCCCCTCAGGATCCAAATTAATTGCTGACACCATCCCTCAGGATCCATATTAATTACTGACACCATCCCTCAGGATCCATATTAATTACTGACACCATCCCCTCAGGATCCATATTAATTACTGACAGAATTCCCTCAGGATCCATATTAATTACTGACAGAATCCCCTCAGGATCCATATTAATTACTGATCCAGAACTCCCCTCAGGATCCATATTAATTACTGACACCATCCCTCAGGATCCATATTAATTACTGACAGAATCCCCTCAGGATCCATATTAATTACTGACACCATCCCCTCAGGATCCATATTAATTACTGACAGAATCCCCTCAGGATCCATATTAATTACTGACACCATCCCCTCAGGATCCATATTAATTACTGACACCATCCCTCAGGATCCATATTAATTACTGACACCATCCCCTCAGGATCCATATTAATTACTGACAGAATCCCCTCAGGATCCATATTAATTACTGACACCATCCCTCAGGATCCATATTAATTACTGACACCATCCCCTCAGGATCCATATTAATTACTGACACCATCCCCTCAGGATCCATATTAATTACTGACAGAATCCCCTCAGGATCCATATTAATTACTGACAGAATCCCCTCAGGATCCATATTAATTACTGACACCATCCCTCAGGATCCATATTAATTACTGACAGACAGGATCCATATTAATTACTGAAACCATCCCTCAGGATCCATATTAATTACTGACACCATCCCCTCAGGATCCATATTAATTACTGACAGAATCCCTCAGGATCCATATTAATTACTGACACAATCCCCTCAGGATCCATATTAATTACTGACAGAATCCCCTCAGGATCCAAATTAATTACTGACACCATCCCTCAGGATCCATATTAATTACTGACACCATCCCCTCAGGATCCATATTAATTACTGACACCATCCCCTCAGGATCCATATTAATTACTGACACCATCCCCTCAGGATCCATATTAATTACTGACACCATCCCTCAGGATCCATATTAATTACTGACACCATCCCCTCAGGATCCATATTAATTACTGACACCATCCCCTCAGGATCCATATTAATTACTGACACCATCCCCTCAGGATCCATATTAATTACTGACACCATCCCTCAGGATCCATATTAATTACTGACACCATCCCTCAGGATCCATATTAATTACTGACACCATCCCCTCAGGATCCATATTAATTACTGACACCATCCCCTCAGGATCCATATTAATTACAGACAGAATCCCCTCAGGATCCATATTAATTACTGACACCATCCCTCAGGATCCATATTAATTACTGACAGAATCCCCTCAGGATCCATATTAATTACTGACACCATCCCTCAGGATCCATATTAATTACTGACAGAATCCCCTCAGGATCCATATTAATTACTGACACCATCCCCTCAGGATCCATATTAATTACTGACAGAATCCCCTCAGGATCCATATTAATTACTGACAGAATCCCCTCAGGATCCATATTAATTACTGACAGAATCCCCTCAGGATCCATATTAATTACTGACAGAATCCCCTCAGGATCCATATTAATTACTGACACCATCCCTCAGGATCCATATTAATTACTGACACCATCCCTCAGGATCCATATTAATTACTGACACCATCCCTCAGGATCCATATTAATTACTGACACCATCCCCTCAGGATCCATATTAATTACTGACACCATCCCCTCAGGATCCATATTAATTACTGACACCATCCCCTCAGGATCCATATTAATTACTGACAGAATCCCCTCAGGATCCATATTAATTACTGACAGAATCCCCTCAGGATCCATATTAATTACTATCCCCTCAGGATCCATATTAATTACTGACACCATCCCTCAGGATCCATATTAATTACTGACACCATCCCTCAGGATCCATATTAATTACTTACCATCCCCTCAGGATCCATATTAATTACTTCACTCCAGGACACCATCCAGGATAATTATTACTGACACCATCCCTCAGGATCCAAATTAATTACTGACAGAATCCCCTCAGGATCCATATTAATTACTGACACCATCCCCTCAGGATCCATATTAATTACTGACACCATCCCTCAGGATCCATATTAATTACTGACACCATCCCTCAGGATCCATATTAATTACTGACAGAATCCCCTCAGGATCCATATTAATTACTGACACCATCCCTCAGGATCCATATTAATTACTGACACCATCCCTCAGGATCCATATTAATTACTGACACCATCCCTCAGGATCCATATTAATTACTGACACCATCCCCTCAGGATCCATATTAATTACTGACACCATCCCTCAGGATCCATATTAATTACTGACACCATCCCTCAGGATCCATATTAATTACTGACACCATCCCCTCAGGATCCATATTAATTACTGACAGAATTCCCTCAGGATCCATATTAATTACTGACAGAATCCCCTCAGGATCCATATTAATTACTGACAGAATCCCCTCAGGATCCATATTAATTACTGACACCATCCCCTCTGGATCCATATTAATTACTGACACCATCCCCTCAGGATCCATATTAATTACTGACAGAATCCCCTCAGGATCCATATTAATTACTGACACCATCCCCTCTGGATCCATATTAATTACTGACAGAATCCCCTCAGGATCCATATTAATTACTGACACCATCCCCTCTGGATCCATATTAATTACTGACACCATCCCCTCAGGATCCATATTAATTACTGACACCATCCCCTCAGGATCCATATTAATTACTGACACCATCCCTCAGGATCCATATTAATTACTGACACCATCCCCTCAGGATCCATATTAATTACTGACACCATCCCCTCAGGATCCATATTAATTACTGACACCATCCCCTCAGGATCCATATTAATTACTGACAGGAATCCTCAGGATCCATATTAATTACTGACGCCTCCTCAGGATCCATGGTAATTACTGACACCATCCCTCCAGGATCCATAGTAATTACTGACATCCCCTCAGGATCCATGGTAATTGACACCATCCCTCCAGGATCCATGGTAATTACTGACACCATCCCCTCAGGATCCATATTAATTACTGACACCATCCCTCAGGATCCATATTAATTACTGACACCATCCCCTCAGGATCCATATTAATTACTGACAGAATCCCCTCAGAATCCATATTAATTACTGACACCATCCCTCAGGATCCATATTAATTACTGACAGAATCCCCTCAGGATCCATATTAATTACTGACAGAATCCCCTCAGGATCCAAATTAATTACTGACACCATCCCTCAGGATCCATATTAATTACTGACACCATCCCTCAGGATCCATATTAATTACTGTCACCATCCCCTCAGGATCCATATTAATTACAGACACCATCCCCTCAGGATCCATATTAATTACTGACACCATCCACTCAGGATCCATATTAATTACTGACAGAATCCCCTCAGGATCCATATTAATTACTGACACCATCCCCTCAGGATCCATATTAATTACAGACAGAATCCCCTCAGGATCCATATTAGTTACTGACACCATCCCCTCAGGATCCATATTAATTACTGACAGAATTCCCTCAGGATCCATATTAATTACTGACACCATCCCTCAGGATCCATATTAATTGTGGCGAAACCAACCTCGCCACTGTGAACTGGAGAAGCCTGGTTGCTCGCCTGCTCCCTTTGGACTATGGCCCTGCAGGTTAAACCGTTTATTTCCCCTGCAGAAAGGCTTATTTGTGTGATCTGAGTGCCATTCATCTAATAATGTGCACTCAGATCCCAGCTATCTGGGGATATGTGAAATGTCTGTGTGTTATGTGTAAATGTGACTTTATGTATTTTAAAGTGTTTTGTGTCTTTTTGCAACCATGTGCTTAATGGAGTCTTGTGTCTATCCTGGGAGATAATTGAATTACTCTCCAGGATAGAAGACTCTGAAACTGGTTTGGGCCAGAAAGCCATGCTTCATTTAGTCACAAAGGACTTTCCCTTAACTTTTGAACCCCTGGTCTGATTCGTGCCATTTTTTAATATGTTGTTCCCCTGAATGGATTGATTATGAAAATGTATGTTTTATGTTTGTGACATGTATATTTTAGAAGTTATAAATATTGTGTAAAAACTGTATTCCTCTGCTGGTGATAATGAGATTACCCATTGTGTTCAGTAATCATATCACCTGCAGAGGGGAGGATTTTGTGTGGGAGTGTCTGGGTGTATTGTACGGATTGATTGGTTGTTTTGTAACGCCCTGTGGGCTGTACTATGTTTGTGGATTGGGAATAAAAGAGACTGTATGTGACAGTACAGAGAGTTCCTGTTTTAACCCTCAAAGTGAAGTGTCGTCTCATTATTGGGGGAAGGATTTATTGTATGCTGTTCCAGTTTGACTGCTAGGAGAGTAAACCTATTCGTATGGTTCCTATTCAACTGTCTACAGCATTCTTATGCTTGGGAGAATTTATTTGTTTCTCCGGTTCGGTGATTGGGGTGTCTGCCAGAGTGCTTTGAGTCCTCAGGAAGCGCTAGGAGCATCCTTCAACGGAGGTACCCAGTCGGGGTGCCAGGCGATCCGTTACATTGGTGGCAAGCGGTGGGATGGCGTCCTAGTGCGAGGTAAAGCAGCTCAGAGACACAGTTCGTGGAGTTACAAATTGAGGGCAACGCTAGCACACGTGCAGCGCCCCTGGGAGCAGAGGTATCCAGCGACTTGGAGCAGACAAGTATGGAAGGCTCTGGCGATGATTGGATGGCCGAGGTGAGGCAGCGAGTGGCTCAGTATGGGGATGATTTACCCATGGAGGTACGCCGGGTGATCTGGAACCAGGTCACGGCCGAGCGAAACACAAGGCTGGCCCGAGAATTCCGGCTGGCGAAAGAGAGAGAGTATGCTCAGCGGAAGGAGTGTTACAGCAGCCGAGTAGAGGCTGCATCCGAGGAGGCTAGCCGTCTCCCCCTGAGGCGGCCGCAGGAACCCGAAGTAGGGGTCCTCATAGACTGGTCCTGTGAGGAACCACAACAGGCAGGTGGAGATGGGACCGGCCCAGATCCCCAGCAGCAGCCGGAGTTGCCAGGTGCGGAAGCAGGTGGTCCTTACTCGCAAATGTTGAGGGACCTCACAGACTGGTCCTGGGAAGACCCACAGATGGCAGGTGGAGATGGGACGGCGGTCTCTCTACCGGCCCTACAGCGATGCTGGGCGGTTGGCCCAGATCTCCAGCGGCAGTATGTATCCCAGGGAGCTGAAGGTGCAGTCCTTCCTCCCCAGCGGCAGTGTGTACCCCAGGGAGCTGAAGGTGCAGTCCTTCCTCCCCAGCGGCAGTGGGTACCCCAGGGAGCTGAAGGTGCAATCCTTCCTCCCCAGCGGCAGTGTGTAACCCAGGGAGCTGAAGGTGCCGTCCTTCCTCCCCAGCGGCAGTGTGTACCCCAGGGAGCTGAAGGTGCCGTCCTTCCTCCCCAGCGGCAGTGTGCATCCCAGGGAGCTGAAGGTGCAGTCCTTCCTCCCCAGCAGCAGTGTATATCCCAGGGAGCTGAAGGTGCAGTCCTTCCTCCCCAGCAGCAGTGTGTACCCCAGGGAGCTGAAGGTGCTGTCCTTCCTCCCCAGCGGCAGAGTGTCCTGCAGGGAGCAGAGACCGTCAGTCTTGCACCCCAACCACAGGACAAAATAATGAAAGGGGAGACAGCTGGTCCCCCTCTTCACCAGCAGAGAGAGTGTCAGGGAGAGGAGCCTGATACCCCCTCTCCCCAGCGGCAGTTTACAGTTCAGAGAGAGGAGCTTGTTACACCCTCTCTCCAGCGGCAGCCTAACCCAGCAAGGGGAGATGTTACACCCCCCAACAGTGCAGATGGGACTGTAGTCTCTGCACTTACAGCACAAGGGGTAGGGACAGTCGTCCTGTTCCCCAGCCACAGAGCGGTGTATCCAGAGGGGAGACAGTCGGTCTCTCCCTCCCACAACCAGGCTCCCACCAGGCTACTTCCGTGGTAGCACTGGCATCAGGGCAGAGTACCGCTGGTCTCTGCCCACTCAGCAACCCACCAAGGCAGCCTAACAGTTGCCCACACAGTCGTGGTGAGGCACCTGGACATGGACAAAGTTCTCCTCTACCCAGGTGTAGTAACCAGTTATTGTGGGTGGGCTGTACTGCTGTTTCTGTTTTGTGGGTGGGTTGCTGGACTAACCAGGGCACTGACCGGCAGGAGGTCAGATACCCTGTTAGTCTAGTTGGTAAAGGGGAGAAGTGTGGCGAAACCAACCTCGCCACTGTGAACTGGAGAAGCCTGGTTGCTCGCCTGCTCCCTTTGGACTATGGCCCTGCAGGTTAAACCGTTTATTTCCCCTGCAGAAAGGCTTATTTGTGTGATCTGAGTGCCATTCATCTAATAATGTGCACTCAGATCCCAGCTATCTGGGGATATGTGAAATGTCTGTGTGTTATGTGTAAATGTGATTTTATGTATTTTAAAGTGTTTTGTGTCTTTTTGCAACCATGTGCTTAATGGAGTCTTGTGTCTATCCTGGGAGATAATTGAATTACTCTCCAGGATAGAAGACTCTGAAACTGGTTTGGGCCAGAAAGCCATGCTTCATTTAGTCACAAAGGACTTTCCCTTAACTTTTGAACCCCTGGCCTGATTCGTGCCATTTTTTAATATGTTGTTCCCCTGAATGGATGGATTATGAAAATGTATGTTTTATGTTTGTGACATGTATAGTTTAGAAGTTATAAATATTGTGTAAAAACTGTATTCCTCTGCCGGTGATAATGAGATTACCCATTGTGTTCAGTAATCATATCACCTGCAGAGGGGAGGATTTTGTGTGGGAGTGTCTAG